CCGCGTGCACGGACATGGCCGTGTTAGCGGGGAACAGCGGCGAGACGTGCTACAGCAAATACGGCTCCGTTTCCATCAAAGCCAAGTACTGCCACGAGCTGGTGAGCGTCAGTCAAAAAGGGAGCCTTGTTAGTCCTGGAATGGCTTCACAGTATGTTTTAATCTGTCAAATCAATGGCGTGTGATGCAGCGCGATGAAAACACACCAGAATTCACTTGTATTATCATTGAAAGCATCTTTTTTTTTTTAGCCCGCAATCATTTTTCAAATTTGATGCGACTTTGTAAAAGGACAATTCGCACCTGCCGCACGTCATAGCATTGCACATCCAAGAGCGTCTTGCTCTCCGCAGGCTCTGCGCATCATCCTGCACAGTTTGGACCAGCGGGCCAACGCCTACCAGCGATACATTCAGCCGCTGCTGTCCGTCAGCGTGGACTTCTACATTCGGGTGTTTGTGCGCGTCTTCACGGGTCAAGCCGCCGTCAAAAACTCAGCCAGGTACGGTATATCATGAACGCGATGCGATACCAAGACAATCATTGCGGATCTGGATAGCCCAAGTCAGTGCTGCCAAGATCAGATGAGATATGACTTGATGTGGTTTGTTTGCGACATCATGTGATCACGTGAGTGTACCGTGATGTATGGCAAAAGTGGAAGAAAAACGGAGCGATGTAGCGACTTCGCGACTATAAATTATTTTGGCTCATCTTGCGATGTACGTCTTGTTCAAAAGCAAGGTCGCGGTGGCATTTAGCTTTCTGCGGTTCATTGTCACGAAGGCCGATTTCACTATTTGGTGTGTGTGTGGGGGGGTGATCTGGTCGTGATGAAATTTATGTTCTAAAGTTGTTCGTTGTCAGCAAAATCGGCCAATGGAAAATGAATTCCGTGAAATCGAGACTTTGAAATGTGAACGTCACAGGGGTGGAAATGTTGTGAACGGGGTACGTTGAAATGAGAGGTTCGACTTTAACTCGATACGGGACGATACGCTTTGTGAGATTTTCAATGGTATGAACAGGTGCATGTCGTAATTTTGCCATCCGTCATGGCCCTCGCCAGCACAGTTAAAAGCAACAGTGCCGTCAAGAGGAGTCCAAAACTATCACAAGTGCTTCATGAAGCTTCAGTTGCCCATTGCTAGTTGAAAGCGTCCGTTCCAAGTTAAACGGCGAACCGATGCGTTGCAGCAAACAGGCTCTGATCTACAATTGTGTCGGCTGCGGGTCGTTCCACTTGCAGAAGATGGGCAGGAGGACCGACAACGGCAAACAGTGAGACGTCGTGGAACTTGGGACTTGTTCTTCGAGTTTCTTCGGCTGACTGTGATTTGTCCATTTCAGTATGAAGTACTCGGCAGCCACTGGACCACCGGTGGGACCAACATGCGAGCACTGTGGTCAGAGGCATCAGGTGAAGATTTTGACTGCTTTTTGTGCAAGTCACTCAAAATGGGTGGGAACAAATGAAACGTCACA